AAGGTAAGCACTGTCTTGTGGTACGATCTTGGTAATACCTAAACATCTCACGAATTAATGCAAAACTGATATTAGATAACTCTAAATCTGCCTCTTTTATTAACCACTCGGAAACTCACCCTTCTTTCGGGCAATCTTTGACACAAGCATCGCGCAACTTCCAATAGCGGCATTTAGCGCACATGGTCGGACCACGTCCCCAGCAGCCCTGGGCTGGATCACAAGTTGGATCACACACCCGATTGCGTTGTTCTAGAAGCATATTCTAGTAGAAACGTCAAGTTACAGAGAAGTTTGGCAAGAAATATCTGCGACTGGCAGAATATTAGCTCATGAGGAACTTGTTCTAGTCGGAATGGCTATCTCTAATGATATGCATACCACTAGGACCGTTTCGAAACGTTAAATCCAAATCTATTTGTATTTGCTGTGCGCTCTCTGCGAAGAGTCACTTCTCTAGGACTGTTGTTGGAGGAACACCATAAATGAGTGACGAACAGTGCTTGAAAGCAGTGGAAAGTGTGTTCGTGTCATTGCTCTTTTTCATTTTTGCTAGTTATTCCGTACGCAATATAAAGAAAGCGTATGCATCAATGTTTTTCCCACTCAAATCCATTATCTGCAGTTCTTAACACTTTGAGAAGAAGTCGGACTGGAGAGAAACACCGTTCTAGGGCTTTGCTTATAGTTTGTATCTTGTTGGCCATTTCGATTAACGTACTCTTGTTTATTTAAAATGCGACGTCTTTTATTCGTCTATTAGCGCAAATACTCACCACACTTGCTGTCCATATTTTTGTTGATCACAGCTTGGGCGGTAGGTGCGATGATCTTATTCCATTTGATCGTTTGTGCATAACATAATCCATGATTTTCTGTTATTATCACACTGCCAGCTTTGATTTTCTGCAAAACAGCTTTTGCGTATGATTTTTAGCTTTTCAAGGAGCATCACAAAACTACCTTTAGGTTTCGCAATCCAAGTTGCTCAAGATTATCGTTCTTGTTGATGGCAAGAGCAAATCTTGATCTAAAAAACTAGTCAATGTGGACTGCATACAAATAGGAGTCCTATTTCAAAAGAAGTTTAGATTATATTAAATGAGATGCTACGTTTTATTCAAGGGATGTTGGTCTTTATATTGAACACGATTTTTCTAAATCTGAGAGACCCACAAGGATAGGATCACAAAGATTTTATTTGTGATTTCAAAGAAATTGAAGAACTTTTAATGCGGTCACGAGAAATAAGAGATTGAACCACTTCAAAATGATACATGG